CAACCATTCATTCAGCGACCATTCAAAGTTATGATGTTGCTGAAAAAATGGACTTACGACTGCTCCCTGAAGTTACAACTGTTGTGGCACCCCTGCAGTCACTTGATCGCAATCTGGGTGCTTGGCAACCTGTTTGCACTTACACTAGATTGCCAAGCACTCCGCAATCACATGATTGCCATTTGCAATCTTCTCTGCTGGCTTTCCATAAAATCAGTGAGGAAGCTGGCAAGGGAGGTCGCAAGTTGCTCGGGTAAGTCTCCCCCACTCACCCCAACCTTTCTTTGCTCACTTGCTTGCACACACCACACCCTCCTTCCCCCTTCACTCACATGCCATGCACTGCACCCTACTTCCCCCTTTGCTCACTTGCATGTACCAGTGCCCTCCTTCCCCCTTCATTTGCTCGCACGCACTGAGCCCCCTTTGCATTGCACTGCAGCTCTGGGGTTTTGCTGAAGGCTTTGCAGGAGGAAGCAGAAAGCCTTATGAATGGCCAGCAGCTTCCAATGTGAGCTAGAGAGCGCTTGCTGGAAATGCCCTGGAGAGTCCTTGAGTGTGCAAAAGAGGGAAGGAGGGGGCGGTGTGTGCGAGCGAGTGAAGGGGGAAGGAGGGAGCTGCTGCATGCAAGCAAGAAAAGGGGGAAGTGGGGCCAAGCAGCCCCTGAGCTGCAGTATGACAAGCAGCTCCAGAGCCATGCGGTTCTGGGGCTGCTTACTGCCCTGCAAGGTAGGGTGCAGGGCAGCCAAAAGGGCAGAAATGGGGGGAGGTTAGGTGGCTGGGGGAGTTGGAGCCAGTCCCTCACCTTACTGAGACTCAAGCCTGGGAAGGACCAAGCCTGGAATGACTTGGATTGGGGTGGGTCCTTGGCTAACGACCAGTGGAATTCACTTAACAATGGCAACGGGGAGTGCCGTCTCTAAATGATGCAGTCATGTGACATGTTGCTTTACGATCGCATCGCTTAGCGACAGAAATTCTGTTCCCAATTCTGGTTGGAAGTCGAAGACTACCTGTAGTTTCTTCCATACTTTTTAAAAGAATTGCAGATTGTACATAATATACGTTCCTTTACCTTTTCTTTATAATATCTTAATTTGCCTAAATCATGATCATATTTAACAGATTATTTAAGGATTCCACTCTAAATTAGAATATCTAATAAGAGTGTTCAAAACTTTAAGCAGATGAATATTTTTCAAAATAGGGATGTAACATGTTTTTAAGAATCACTACTGATATTTGACATTTTTTCCCATTACTGTACTATCACTGCCTTTGCTGCTAAAAGAAATTAAACTATAAATTCATGAAGGTTCTTGGGGAGAGGAAAGGAAAATGACCATCTGGACCCTAATCTCCAACCTGATGAACATGACTGCTTAGCAGCAACTGTTCTATAAGAAAGACTAGGATGACTTTAAAATGTTAATGTAATATTTACTGTGATTCTATGATACATTTTGATGTTACTTGTAAGCTGTCTTAGAACAATCTGAATTCTGAAGGGAGAGTTTTTGCTGTTATTTGCAACCCATTACCAGAAAGTGGCAGTATCTTCAGTTAAAAGGCTTTTTGCCATTGAGACATCCTTAAGTGCCTCAGAAATGCCTCTATCACCCGAAGATTTAATATCTTCTTTATAAAATAATAAGCATATAATAGCAATTTACTAGTAGTTGTTGAGAATACATCAAAGTACATGTTTAAGAACAGAGGTAGAAAATAAGGAATCAGAATGTCTAGTACACAAATATTAGGGGAAGACTATTTTGCTATCTGTCATAGTTCTATTTATTTTAAATTATTAATCCAAACAATTTTAAAAAAAAATTGCACTGCATCTTTTAAAGAATATATTGGTTATTCTTAAAACTTTAATATATAAAGTTAAGAATAACTGATGAAACTGTGATGCTCAAAAAGTCACATTAGCCTTATGAATATAATATATTATATACAGCAGCTCCCTTTTGGACAGAAATTGTTTCACATATTAATTTTGCTTTGGATTTTTTTTTTATTGATGCTTATGCTCTTTTAATTAAATACCAATGATCACGAAATTAATGAACAGACAATAGAAATGGTTATTACATTCCAAGTAGCAAAATACACAAAGAGATTGATACAAGGCTGAGAGAGTATTCATGGTGTAAATTATAGAAAGCTATGAAGATGACACCACTATTTCTATATTTTGAAAAACATTCCACCACCCAAAGTCCTGTCTAAAAGACTATTCAGAAATTTGGTGGGAGGTGGGACAAATGATACTGCAACTGTATCACCATATCAAGGACGGAAAGTCAAGATATTTGAGACTCAGCTTATCCATTCTCTTGGTTCATGGAAAGGGAAATAAATATGTGGATTGTCTTGACAGGAGAAATTTGCTTTATTGGATCATATCTGGAGTTATCTGGATGATGGATTGCCAATATGAGAAGGGCTGAACCCCACAAGGATTAATAAAAATGTGTTTGGCTGAAAGAGTGAGCCCTTATCACAAGGGCTTTAAACTGAATTTGAAGAGAGTAGGAGACAAAAACGTTGAAGAACTCCAATGAAGACCTATGCACTATTGAAGGATGAAAAAGTGTTGCTACAATGAAGCCTATTAAACCATAAATGAAAAATTAGAAAGAACACTGGTTCATAAAAGTCATGGTCTTTGTTGATGGGGATTTTAACTATCCCTGACATCAATCCTGGACCAAATAAAGACTGACTTTTGTTTCAGGGTAATGATTAGCAAACAAACTCATATATTTTGGACATCATGTAAACGGATGTCAAACTGGAAAAAATAACTATGCTTAGTAAGGTTGAAGGAAATAGGACAATGGATAAGCGGATGGGAAGGATCAAAGAAATGACAGAAAGAGTTCAAAATTATTACTAAAGACAATATAAGATAAGCATTTATCTATGCAGTTACCAGGAGTAAAGCCCAACTCAACAGCACCTAACTAATTAGCAGCACAACTGCAAACATTTCAATCAGAAAAATAAACCAAAGATAGAACAAACCAATGTGACTGAAAAAAGGCTTAGTGAAGGTTTGAAAATAAAGATGGACACATGCAGGAAGTAGAAAAAGGACAGATCACAGTGGAAGACTCAGACAATTAGCCCAGAATTGTAAAACAGATGTCAGGAAAGCTAAAGTTCAACTAAATCAAGGATAGTAAGAACAACAAAAAGACTTTTGTAGCTATGTTCAAGATAAAAGAAAGAGAATCAGTATTGCTCATCAGTGTTCGGTGAAGATAGCAAAATGTTAATAGGTCAGCAAAGAAAAGGTAAAGGTATTCAACTTCAATTTTGCCTCAGTCTTCTCCAAAAAGATAGAATGTGTCTTATCATTCACCTGTAAACAGCAGAACAAAGGAATAGGACTGAAGCTCTTCTGTAGGTGTGCCATGACACTGCACGCACTCCATGAACAAATGAGGTGGATCTTGTGGCATAACCCTGCTTTTGTCAGGGTTCAGAAGGAAAATGACTGGCATAATCCTTATATCAGCCAGGACTAGATGAAAGTCTTGTTTTCTGAGACTGTACTAACTGATGTTTCCAGACCAATTTCAAAGGCAATCCCTTAAATAACACAGGCAAAGCAGGTGGTTACTAGAGCACAGATAATGCAGGTGTATCTGCATTTCCAAGCATCAATTTCAGGGAACATCTTTCCGGATAGCAGCCGAATGTCTACAAGTGTATTACTTTCAGCACCCAACTATCTATCTAAAAAGATATCAGGGGACAGCCAACCTTTGTTTCAAATCCAGGTCTGAATTTGAACTGAACTAGGAAAGAGTTTTATTCACACAAACTGACAGAATAATCATCCAATCAAAAACCTTGCCCAGAACAGAGGTATGTGGGAATTAATAACTGGGTTCTCTGTTCTCAACCTCAAAATTCTGGAGATGCCCATTTACCACCATGCTGCCAACAATGCTATTGTCCATATCTGAAGGCTGAATTTACAAATGTCTTTGCTAGCTGTAGAAGGCAGAGGAAATGGCCTTGAAGGACAGGAGGAAGAGCTGCTAGCAAGGCAACCATCAGTTAAGAGGGGCCTGAGCCCAGGCCAAGAAAGGAACTTGAGAAAATGTCTTTACAGGAAGATAAAGGGAGGGAAGGGGAAGCACATTCAGACTTGCAAGATTCTGTTATTATAGCTGCTACAATAAAATTAATACTGACCTACATGGCATTGATTTCTAAGTCTGGTCTACCTTTTATGGCTGATCTCAGCTTGAAGTTTGAATATGTTTAATAGAATAAACATGGTCTGTCTGTAACATGTTACTTATTTAAGTACTCGACATGTCCTGTTTCTTTGCTTCCTTTATTTAACCATAACTTTCATGTTGAATCATCATTGATTTTCCTTTTAATTTCAAAAACTGACCTCAATTAGTAACCTTAGATTTACACTGCTTACATGCTTCCTTTATTTCTCTTGACTAACTGCATCATTTAGCATTAATCTTTAAACAGGACTTTTGTTAAGAGGTTAATAAAGAATTACCATACAATTTTATCAGTGCTTACATCAGAAGTCTGAATTGATTTCCCAGTGAGTTTTCCAGTTAGATATATATGATTCAGCTATATATATATTCAGCTAAAACATTCTATTAAAAAAAAACTGAATACAGCTTATAAATAAAAGTGAAATACATCATTAAAAATCATTACAGTACTTATTTAATATTTCCCCAAAATATTAAATCTTTCTGCAAAATATAGTTTTTAAATGACTAAAAATGAGAAACATACACATATCATACACACAGATACACCAAACACATTAGGGATAAACTAGTACCAGCAATATATACCAGCAACATAGACAATTACTGATTTAAACAATTATGTGTCTAGAAAATACTTTTATGTTATTTCTTATTTGACAGGAAAAACATCCTGTTTCCTAATATTCTAAAAAAAATGCCATAAGCCATAAAAATATCACTCAGATTCACCTGATGGTTTCTTCTTGATACAGTGAGCTGATAACCGGACCTCCAAATACAGCTTTTCCTTCTTTTCCTTTCTTTTCTGATATCTGAAAGAACAAACATAGTAATGTTTGTTTACACATTTCATTTCTGTAACTATACAGGTCATGCTCAAGAATAATCCTATGGAATCATTTTTCCCTCTTATCACCATTTTCAGATCTTAGTTGTAACATTTAAGATCACAGAAACATACCATGCCTTGTCAGCAATGAAAAACAAATTTATAACTGTAACACCAGGGTCCACCAGCTAGACCTGTATACCAAATATGAATGCATAATAATAAAATACCTTTGAGCTCATATGAGTCTAGGGATTTGTTGTCATTATTAGAACTGAACTGAGATCATAATAAAGTCCACTCTTGATTATTCTCCAAGCTTCCTTACTTTCAGTTTCAATTTAGATAGAAATCATATTGCTGTAAGAATTCTGCATTGTTAAGCAAATGCATTGTTAAACAAGTGCAGAAAATTATTTCTGAAATTGGCTAAACAACCATGAAGGAGCCAGCAACAAACATGTCAAGCAAATTAAAACTCTGTCCAAATTTTACAATAGGGTGAGGAAACAGGTTACTCAGCCTCTGAAATATACCTTAAAAGAATAGAGCGTGCGCAACTATTCAGCATTATAGTTAATAGGAGATTTAATAGTTACAAATATGGAGAGAGGAATTCACGATGGGTATGTAGAATGCACAGAGACTTGCTTGACTGGCATGGAGGCTGTGGATATAATACATCATCTAGATAGACTCTTAAATGCCAGGGAGGAAACACCAACACCAACACCACCATGAGAAAATTCTCCATGTTATATGTGCAAGAGAGCTCTAGACCTTCAACATGTGGAGCACAGTATCCTTCTGGACTGCCTGCAGCAGTTGGGAGTTGAGGGCATCATTTTTCAGTGGTTCTGCTCCTACCTTAATTTCTTGGTTCAATCAGTGGTGCTGAAAGAGCAGGAATTGAGCCCTTGGGACCTCCACTGTGAGTTTTCCATGGCTTGATCCTCTCCACTATATTATTTAATATATACATGCAGCTGTTGAGAGAGATCATCTGCTGGTTCAGGGTAAAGTGTCACCAATATCCCAATGACAGCCAATTATACATAACTATCCCGGGCCGAGACGGAAATGTCATGCAAGTTCTGTATCAGTGCCTGGAGGTGGTTAGGAAGGGTGGGACAGAACAAGCTCAAACTAAATCCTACCAAGACTGAGCTACTTGTTGTCAGTAAACCCCAGAGCAATCCTTTAACATCAGTCCCTGTCCTAACACCAAACCGACTTATAAATAATTTACTAGTGAGTGGCAAGCAATTACCCACATGGCAGAGAACTGGCGAGTGCCAACACATACACAGACACTCCACCAATGTGGGAGAGCAAGTTTTTTTCTGAGGGAGCTCACCCCAAAGCCAAAATAGAGCATGGGTAAGCACAGTCCACAATAGCCCAGGGGGCCAGCTGCCAAAGAAGGTAGTCAGCTAGTCAGCTCAAACAACCAAGGTTCAGAATGCAAATACGAGTCCCAAACATGGGAGCTGAGCTGACGTTATTCCCAGTAAAAAGCCTGACTGTCAGCAGTTATTCTAATATAGGCAGGCTGCAAGGGTGGATCAATTAAAGCATAGACATCTCTACTTCTTGAAGAGCAGAATGCGTCTGCTTGGTGCTTTGGGGTTCCCATATGCTCTCAGTCTGGGTGGTCTTTCAGAACCCATGCCCTTGTCAACTGACTCTCCTGCACCTGCTCCAACTGACTGCCTAGCTGAGTCAACCTCAGGTGATTGACAGCTTATTGAATCCTTTTTTTAAAATATAATTTTTATTAAGATTTTTAAAAAGGAAGATAAAAACTAATACAAACTAATATAAAATAATAATTATTTTATTTTCTTATTGACAGTTTACTGAATCCTGAGGCTGATAATCTGCTGAAGCACGCCCTCTGCTGCTGATTCCTCTAAGTTAGAGATGATCACAGTCCTGGTACTCACTCTTGAAGGGGTTAGAGGTCCCCTGAAGAAGCTAGTGCAAGATCTGGGTTCATAGATGTGATGGACTGGAATGGAGGAAGGGGGGTGAAAACGGTGCTCTCGTCCCCCCACCCAACCCCCCGGGGTGAGCGGAGAAAAAGGGGGCACCCCCCAACAATCCACCAGAAAATAGTGGAGTGGGGTCG